TTACCCATGTCTATCCCTTTTTTCATACCAAAAAAAATATTACAAGTTATAATATAAGTTCCAGTCTAATCGATCATTACAAGAAGATTGTAGCTATTCCTCTTCTTGACTCCTCAATTATCCAAATGCTAAGACTGATTTACTGACGGAGATCACCACGCCCGCCATCTGCCTTGTCTCGTGCCATCGCGATCGATTATAGTAAATAGGGCACTGCAGCTAGATCGGGTGAAAGGCATGCTGTTCTGGGAGAAAGACATCCCATTTCTCAAATCCCTTGAAAATTAGGTACGTATAGGAGAACACTCTGGCTGTTAACAGATAGGGAAGGTTCAAAACAACGTTTTTATTAGTACTTGGTGTTTGCGATGATAATGCTCTCCCAAACATCCATCGCCTTTCTGGTCGTTACCTGCACCCTACCGATCACAAGCGCACAGAAGCTGAGTGATTTTTTTCACTGAATCAAGACCGGCTCTAGGTTAACAATGGAGCGATTTTCTGATCTCGCAGTGATCACCATGCACCGATCTAAGAGATTCGAGGTAGAAGAGATATGCGAAGCCTTTGTAAAGGCTCATCCAAGGAGGCCCTTTCAAGCTAGTCTGTTTGATTAAGTAGGCGGGTAAACTGATTGGTTCTTTTTTAACGGCCCTTAATTTTGCTACTGTAACTCCAAAACTGTCCGATTTGACCTGTCCGATAACCAGGAGCTTGTAATCGGACTGGTTAAAGAACCAATGAAAATCAAGGAGCAAATGCCACTAGCCAATGAAATTTGACCACAAAGCACATGATAATCAATCAAAATCAATGAAAAAATAATGACCAGGTGAGCTGTCAGGCTTCAACTGGAAAGGAAAAATGGATGAAACTAACCGGTCCAATGACTTTTATTTACATTAATAAATATTCCACGACTGAGATTCTCCCATTTTGTTATTGACACAATTAATCAGTGATAGGACTTCGTGTCATACAATTCAGGGGTAGTCGGGCTCTTAATTTCAAATCGGCTTTGAAATTAGGAGGCCGATTACTCCCCGAACTGTACTCCACTCAGTCCTATTACCATTACTAATAGTGCCTCAAATTCCTCTGAATGCTAAGGTAATCTATTATGGGATGGGAACATTGAAATTCCTATTCAGTGCATCTTGAGGATTACGAAAATGTAAGTTAAAAAAATACATCATATGGGTGCATGGGAACCCTACTTTCCGACTCGACTAATAGATAGATAGATAGATAGATAGATAGATAGATAGATAGATAGATAGATAGATAGATAGATAGATAGATAGATAGATAGATAGTTTAATAACCAGTACATTGCAGCCTGAAGGCTGAATTGCGTATTTACAAATGATTGAACTGATAAAATGTGTATATAAAACTAAGTACAGTAAATATAAAAGTATAGCCACTCTCTACTACTACCTTGCGGAATGACATTAGTTCTATCTATATTTGTACCCACTCTTGCTCTCGCATTTAGTACAGTATGTGTATATCTGAAATATGTGTGTGTTCGATTCGATCAAATATTGTTGCATCACTTGCATGTGCATTCACGTGATTACGGGGACATTAGATGGGCGCGCGAGGGAGAAAGGAAAGTTCCCCTCCTCCCTCCCCCTTCGCGCGCGGTCTCGCGCTCTAATTCCATTCCCCTTAATTCCCTTTCGAACGCCTGCGTGAACGCCTGCCACGCAGGCTAGGAACACAGGGGCCTTAGTGACCACATACCATGTATATTAGTACGCAGAACAAAGGCATTTCCAAGAATGTGGACAGATTTTAGGAAACCTCGTTATACACTTCATGAAGTGCTGTTGACCACCGCCACCAAGAGTACGTCTGCGAGCTCGCTTTTGCCCGCCCGCAATGATGTGAAGACCGTCTGTTAAAGGGTATGTGCCGAGGTACCAGTTTTCAATGGAAGAGGAAAAACTCTTGAACCACTCGCTATCAATAAGAAAGATGAAATATAATACATTCTTTATTTCAAATTGTAACGTCTTATCATTGTATGTAAGACCCTGAAAAACAGAGGCGGATCCAGGGGGAGGGTTGAGGGAGTTGCAACCTCCCCTTTGGAAAGTTTTCAAACTTGTCTGGTTACNTTCTATCTATATTTGTACCCACTCTTGCTCTCGCATTTAGTACAGTATGTGTATATCTGAAATATGTGTGTGTTCGATTCGATCAAATATTGTTGCATCACTTGCATGTGCATTCACGTGATTACGGGGACATTAGATGGGCGCGCGAGGGAGAAAGGAAAGTTCCCCTCCTCCCTCCCCCTTCGCGCGCGGTCTCGCGCTCTAATTCCATTCCCCTTAATTCCCTTTCGAACGCCTGCGTGAACGCCTGCCACGCAGGCTAGGAACACAGGGGCCTTAGTGACCACATACCATGTATATTAGTACGCAGAACAAAGGCATTTCCAAGAATGTGGACAGATTTTAGGAAACCTCGTTATACACTTCATGAAGTGCTGTTGACCACCGCCACCAAGAGTACGTCTGCGAGCTCGCTTTTGCCCGCCCGCAATGATGTGAAGACCGTCTGTTAAAGGGTATGTGCCGAGGTACCAGTTTTCAATGGAAGAGGAAAAACTCTTGAACCACTCGCTATCAATAAGAAAGATGAAATATAATACATTCTTTATTTCAAATTGTAACGTCTTATCATTGTATGTAAGACCCTGAAAAACAGAGGCGGATCCAGGGGGAGGGTTGAGGGAGTTGCAACCTCCCCTTTGGAAAGTTTTCAAACTTGTCTGGTTACCCATGTCTATCCCTTTTTTCATACCAAAAAAAATATTACAAGTTATAATATAAGTTCCAGTCTAATCGATCATTACAAGAAGATTGTAGCTATTCCTCTTCTTGACTCCTCAATTATCCAAATGCTAAGACTGATTTACTGACGGAGATCACCACGCCCGCCATCTGCCTTGTCTCGTGCCATCGCGATCGATTATAGTAAATAGGGCACTGCAGCTAGATCGGGTGAAAGGCATGCTGTTCTGGGAGAAAGACATCCCATTTCTCAAATCCCTTGAAAATTAGGTACGTATAGGAGAACACTCTGGCTGTTAACAGATAGGGAAGGTTCAAAACAACGTTTTTATTAGTACTTGGTGTTTGCGATGATAATGCTCTCCCAAACATCCATCGCCTTTCTGGTCGTTACCTGCACCCTACCGATCACAAGCGCACAGAAGCTGAGTGATTTTTTTCACTGAATCAAGACCGGCTCTAGGTTAACAATGGAGCGATTTTCTGATCTCGCAGTGATCACCATGCACCGATCTAAGAGATTCGAGGTAGAAGAGATATGCGAAGCCTTTGTAAAGGCTCATCCAAGGAGGCCCTTTCAAGCTAGTCTGTTTGATTAAGTAGGCGGGTAAACTGATTGGTTCTTTTTTAACGGCCCTTAATTTTGCTACTGTAACTCCAAAACTGTCCGATTTGACCTGTCCGATAACCAGGAGCTTGTAATCGGACTGGTTAAAGAACCAATGAAAATCAAGGAGCAAATGCCACTAGCCAATGAAATTTGACCACAAAGCACATGATAATCAATCAAAATCAATGAAAAAATAATGACCAGGTGAGCTGTCAGGCTTCAACTGGAAAGGAAAAATGGATGAAACTAACCGGTCCAATGACTTTTATTTACATTAATAAATATTCCACGACTGAGATTCTCCCATTTTGTTATTGACACAATTAATCAGTGATAGGACTTCGTGTCATACAATTCAGGGGTAGTCGGGCTCTTAATTTCAAATCGGCTTTGAAATTAGGAGGCCGATTACTCCCCGAACTGTACTCCACTCAGTCCTATTACCATTACTAATAGTGCCTCAAATTCCTCTGAAGTCAAAATGAAGAAAATCTACATATTCAAACATAACCCTAACCCTCCCCACTCTCCCCCCTCCCCCATTCCCTTTGCCCAGGGACGTTTGCCTTCAACTCTCAAACTTACAACCCCCTCTTTGAAAAAATCCTGTATCCGCCCCTGGAAGGCCGTGCCTTCCAAATATTGTAAAAAATATATATATATTCCCGACTGTAAAATCAGCCTTACTTCTTATGTTTAATATTTTCAGTTATTGCTTATTAGATCCTCTATTAGGATCCGGTCCTTCGTTTTTGTAAGCTGGTCCTTCAATAAATTGAACTGATTAAAGAATTTGCTCAGTAAGGCAATTAGGAAAACGCGCGCGAAGTACGCAAAATTAAAGAAAGACAAGTAGGTGAAAGGTGTCAATCATCGCCTCTCGGAAAAGCTTTTTCAAAAATCTTTATATTTCTGTAAAACAAGAACCTCTTCTTAAAAAAGTAATGATTCTGAAAATAGCAGGATCGAAGGGGGTTTCAGGGATCATAAAACGCTGCAATGACGTCATACTTTTGAAGTAACACTTCCGTCACATGACCCGAATGACGATCTCGAGCTTCAGCTCCAAACCAACTTCAAACATGGCGGACAATATATCTGCGGAACATTCCGCTCCTTTGGAACCAGATTCAAGCGAAAATGCGCCTTTGTTACAGGAACAAGAAGATCAACCGGTAAACCTGGGACCTCCTCCTCCATTTGTAGCAAGTGAGTAAATTTTTTTTGTCACGATAAGTTAAAGTTTTCTTCGTTGATTTGGAGAAAACTTTCCCTATCGCCTGATCGATCGCTTCAGTGTTTACTTTCGACCTGTGTTGCGAAATATGTGTAGTTTGGAACCTAGCGTTTTGCGTCAATTTCTTCTACACTTCTGCTCGTTAAATTATTGAAAGAAAAATATATGAAGAAAGTAGTGCAATTTTTTTACTACTTTTGGTAAATGTTCACGAAATGTTGTGTGATCGAATGTTATAACACATTCGCATAGGTTTCGCTTGAGAGTGAAACCTGTAGGCTTAATAACCTAGCTATCTTTGTTTTTGGCCTGCAAAGTTGTTTTTATAGCATTAAAGCCATTAAGACAGCGATTTTTCAAACAGTCACGTCCCTTCTTATATTGTTGAACAGTTTTTCCTGTGCCCGTAGTGGAAAACGCGAGATAAACCTTGTAGTGCAAGCTTAGAATTTCTTGAATTTATCGTCGACGTGCGTTTATACGACAATCTTGTATTTCAGTCTTACTTATAATAAAAAGTTATTTGGGACAGACATTAGTCCTTGGTAGTTTTTAGTATTTAATAGCATATGTGTTTGTCTCTTGAAATTCATTCCAAAGTTGGTTTTTACTAGCAAGTACATTATTTTTATGTGACTGTTTGGGTTGAATGCACAGGTCTTCCGTGTTTTTTCTGAAGTCTGAAATATAATTTTTTTTCATCTGTACACTGAACGTGTTTATTTAACTGTTGATACGTTTTTGTTAGTCTGTGAAAATTATGATTAATATGCTTTTTCACATAAATTGACGATTTTAGTAATATTTTGTATGGCGTACTTATTCTGTACACATTAATTCCCATCTATACAAAGTGAATAGCATGATATTGGTTTTGTGGAGAAACAATTTAAATAAATACTCAGTCAAAGAGAACTAAAAAGCTGTGTTATTAAATGCGGAAAATGATATGTGCATAAGATTAACGATTGTCCACATTCCTACATGTAGTGCAGTAGCAAACTTTTATAGGCGTAGTTATGTTGCTGTTGAAAACCACAAGTACCTGGTAAAATCCAGCCAGGTCTGAAAATTGCAGCACTGACTGCAGTGTGCCATGTATTTGTAATTTGGTGTGCCAAAATTGACACTTCAGGTTTGATCCAACTCTGAATGTTTGGATGGCTTTCACAAATTACAGTTTCTAAACGTTAGAGACTACAAAGTGCAATTTTCAGTTTTACATGGTATCGATGTTTATTAGGTTGTAGGTAAAATTTGTTCTCATTTTGAAATGTTAGTCATTCATTCAGAACCCTAGCAAGTAGCTACAATCTTGGACAAAACTGTTGAGAAAATTGCATACTTGGGGGTCATTTTTTCTAAACTTCGTAGCCGACCGATTTTTCCCTCCCCCCCTCCCCCTGGAAGCTGTGTTGTTGGGTCTTCAAAAGAAAGCTGGATCCCTAAGCATTTGTAGGAAGCAACTTTGAACTGGGGGAGGGAGTTTTCTTTAAGCAAAGCCGTTGATTTGGAAATAGATTTGTTGCATTAGGTAGTGCGCATTCATGAAAACATTTTCTCAAGTAGTTTTGTCCAGGATTGTAGCCCTAGAAGGTGGAATACTTGGCTACTTACATTTACACAGGAAAACCAGAAATTCTGAAGTTCACACCATTCTGTCAATCTTGTTTTCTCTCTTCAAACTGGTTTTTCTACAGTAGTGCAGCATCCATTTATTGATAAACTGATGGCTATAACTGAGATGTCTGTACCAAGCACATGGCTATTAGACCTGAGTAGGTAACTGTGTCCTAGCAGCATGTAGCACATGCTCAAAAAGGGTCAAACAGGATCAAACAGTCTTTCTCGAGCTTAAACAGAAAAAGGCTCTGTTGACAGGGTGACTTAAAATTTTATTTTCTTTCCAGGCACAGCTCCTCCTGCTCCCGGTACACCCCCACCAGCCTATTCTGAGATGCCACCACCGTATACCCCTCCGTTTTCAGTGAACACTGAACCGTCAGTGATCTGCCGTGTTTGTCAACAGCTTATCTACATAAGAGGAAGGGAACATCAGCGTGTGGTAAAGTGTGGAAACTGTCAAGAGGCCACGGTAAGTACACATGCAGGAACTTTTAGTTTTACTGTAAAAATTCAAATTTCTATCAGACATTCCCACTTATAATATTATATAAATTGCAGACTGTTGTCATTTCCCAAGTTTTGATAATGTCAAACACCTTAAGGGGAAAGAATTCTGTTGATTGCTGTCATAGCTTGTTTATGGAATGGGCAAAACTTTCAACTTTGTGGAAAGAGAACATGGCATACTCCCACAGCTTCAAAATTAAAAGAACAAATTCTTGACCACTAAAAAAAATGATGAAGGGTTATCCCCAAACTGTTTACTCCTACACAATGTTGTGAAGGGAGCCAAAAAACTCTTATTAAAAAAAGACATTAAAAAATCACATTAGAGTGTAGAGAGTTTGTTAAATATTTAGGGGTTCTGATGGACTACAAACTTTCTTGGAATAACCACATTGACACAGTTCTTTTAAAAATCAGTAGAAGTGTTGGGCTATTATCGAAACTGCGACATTTATTATTTTTGTTCCCTTTAGCACACTTATTTTCATTTGTCACTCTCTGATAGCACCCTATCTTCAATACGGTCTAATTGCATGGGGTCAAGCAAGCAAGTCACAACTAAACAAACTTCTAGTCCTTCAGAAACGTGCTCTTCGCTTTATTCACTTTGCTAAACCACGTGATCATGCCATTCCTCTCTTTATCAATAGAAAAATATTACCAATTAACTTTCTCTATTATCAGCTACTAGCAGAAACAATGTCTGATGTGAGAAACAACTTAGTACCAACAAACATTCAGGAATTGTTCCTTCCACTTTCTCGTGTTCATTCATACGGCACTAGGTCATCTACAACTGTACATCTCAAAACTTTTATATAAAGAATCGAATCTTGAAATCCCAAAAAATTCTTTCTCGAGACTTGGTGCCAAATTATGGAATGAGATACTGACCAAGTTGTGCACACTTTTAAAACACAAATTCAAATTTAATATTTGTGCATCATTGCTTGATATACTGGAGACTGGCAAATCTTATAATGAAAGAGATGAAATTATTCCTAAAATGAAAAAAGCAGAACCAATTTTTTTGTAATCCTGCCCATAATACAGCAAGCTAATGTTTTACTTTCTTTTCCTCCTTATAGTTTTAAATGCATCTTTTTCATATGTTTTTCTTCGTAAGATTATAATAATTTTTGCAATTAGTAAACCGCTCCATATTTGTTTGAAAACTGATGAATCTCTCTTGCTTTCTATGTTTTTTTTTTACCTTAATTTAATTGCAGTTATTTTCTTTTCGTATCATTCTTGGCCCACCTAGACTAGCTACAGATATTTGCCGTGCCAGGACACTTGTACTTTGTGATAAATGTTAATGCTTAAAACTTTGATTCTGAACTCTTTTATAGCCTATAAAACCTCCACCTGCTGGCAAGAAGTACATACGATGTCCTTGTAATGCCCTGCTCACATGCAAAGTCTCTTCTGTTAGAATATCTTGTCCAAGAGCCAACTGGTGAGTACCTATTAACATCAACTTGTTCTCAGTGCTCAGAATGTCGATAGACATGCAATATTTTTTTTTTTTAAGAAAAAAGGTTACAAGGTGAAGGAACAGCTTTGTTTATGGTGGAAGTGCTCTTACAGTAGCTTTTCCAGCCAGTTTACAGGCAACCTTACAGTCCTGATGAACCCTTTAAGCCCCAAGATCCACATGCAAATTCTCCAGACTGATCTCCATACATTTCTTTTAAGAAAAGTTGAGAGAATATGGTTTAAGATTAAAGCATTCTCCATTAATTTTGGTAATCAGTTTAATAATTCTCATAACCAATACTCTTGATGATCTGCCGATGTTGTTAGGAGAAAATTGATGTTGGTCACTCTTGTAAAGAGGCCCTGTTAGGGTAAAATTCCAACAAGCAACATGGCCTTGAAACAGCAACATACAAGACTAGATAAAATGGGGACAAACAACATAAAGATGGGATAATACCCACGAGGACATTGCTGTCTCCTAAAAATGGGAAATGACTGTATTAACAATTCAGACCAGGGACATTAACCCCCTTTAAGAGGGCCTCAGTAAATACCCAAAGTCAGTGGCAGGGTGCAAGAAGTTGGGTACCGTATCTACTCTAATAAGCTCTGCGGTGCTCAAGAGCAGTGCTTATTCCAGGGCGGTGCTTATTTGAAAGTTATTGAAAGTTGGACTTGATTACTGATAAGGGGCAATAAAATTGATGTCTTTTGATTTGATTATATCAGGGCTGCGGTGCTTATTTTTGGGCAGTGCTTATTTTCTTTTTTCTCCCAAATGCGGGGCTTAATCGTGGGCAGTGCTTATTCAAGTAAATACATTTTGTACATTATCTGCAAAAAGGACGTGAGATTTAAACATGGGATGACTGAGAAACAAATCCAGATAGGAGTTTGAGGGGGGACTTAATCCTGGCTCCACTGGATTGCATGCCCGACATGCTGAACACTCCTCCATGCTGCATCCATTTTCGCTAACTAGTCGCAATCTGTGGAACAAACTGTGGAAAGGTCCATTTAGGTATTATTAATAATATTATCATTTTCCTTTTAATCTTTAGCAAGCGAATAATAAATCTTGCTCCAGCTCCAAGTGTGCCTGCAACAGTGACTTTGCCCTCTGTGCATACTACCCAGTTTCGAGTCACTTGTGGCCACTGTAATGAAATCTTTGTGGTATGTTCAAACTCTTCTGCACGCATGTACATGTATGTTAGATACAACTCCTTAGCCCATATTCTGCCAAAATATTTTTTAAAAATGTTTTAAAAGTTAAAAATCCACATGGAACTCTTAACTTCATTTTTTTGGAAAAATCCTAAGAACAAATTTTGTTAAATTATGTAGTAAATTAATGTTTTAAAGAAATAACTCTGCTGCTGTACTAACTTTTATATCAAGGTTTCTTAGTGGCATTATCTTTTAAACAGCCGCAAGGAATTGCCATTCATTTACATCTATAAGATCAATGTGCCCTGAAAAAAAAATTAATAATAAAGAAAGCCCATAGCTCTCAGCCTGTGAAAAGAGGGTTCCTGGAGCATTTTGAAATTTTCTGGTCTCCCAGTGGCAAGCAGACATCTATGTGCTGTAAAACATGGCTTTGTACTAGCCTTGTAGCTTGATAAATCTTTGTATTCATTAATTTATCAGAAGTACAATATTTTATCAACTGAAGATTTGACTCTAGGCATTTTATTACCATAAAGTTTCATACTACACAATGGTGTAACACTCTTCAGATAAAAATAATAGCCTAATGGTACAGCTGTAGATTACAACGGTATGCTGATTATAACTGAAATTTAAAATGCGGTTACTAAGGATACAACATTTCTGTCGGTCCTATTATGTTTAATAACAGAAGTGGACTTGAAATTTTTCAAGAGAAATATGTATGCTAGCATGTCTACACAAAGATAATTATATGTGGAAAAAATCATTTATTTTTGTTACATTAAATGGCTTAATTTTACTTTTTCTATTATTCACTTCACCAGTTTCACACAACAAATCACCTGGCTAGATGCCCTCATTGCCGACGAATGTGAGTAAAATAATTATTTAACAATTATCGAATGAGACTGAGTATCATCATTCTGAAGAATTATGGAGAGGCTTCGGCTGATGATGTCCTTGAGATCCCCATAATTCTTCAGACAATATGTTTTATTACTCATTCAAAATAATGTGTAGTTTAAAAACAAGCTGAAACAGTCATGCTTACCTCCTTCCATGTTAAGTTCAACTTTGATAGTGCATGTTCTTGCTATGTTTTTAGCCAGTAGTTTGCCTAATTCTTCCTCATGAAGCAAGTGAAATGTTCCGCCATTTTTGTACCCACTAGCAAAACAACTCAACCTCAGCCCTAGGTCTTCTCAGTTAACTGCTCAATAATCTGGCAGTTTTGCTTTATTGTTGACGTCATTTTTAACATCTCGCGAAATTCTTCCAAGTTTAGTCAACAATAGCTGGTTATGATGAATTATGTTTGGGATTTCAGGCAGTCAGAAACTGAGAAATATTTCTAATGAATAATAAAAATAATTATTATTTTCTTGTAAGGAATTTGGAAGATATCTCTATTTTGATCACTGACAGATGAACTAATTGTTGTTGATATTCAATTGTACAAGTCTGGATTTCTATCACCATTATAATTGGTTTACAGTTTTTCAAGTGGTAATTTTTATTTCTCTCTACCTCAGATCATCTGTTGGGCCTCGTTTTGCCAAGACACGTGCTATGATATTCGCCGTCATTGGGTTCATATTTTTAGCTGCTGGAATTGGGGTGACTGTAGGGACGCTAGACTTGGCTGAAAAATCAGGAGGTAAGGACTAACATAACCCTCCCCCATAATCACGTACACTTTCATCTTTCAAGATTAGCGAAGTTGGTTAGTGGGCGGCCTTCTGTGTGGTAGGTCCCGAGTTCCAATTCCAGGTGTGACCTCAAGTCCTCCTTTCACCTTCTTTCCTCTCCTTGTAGCTTTTAGTAGCTTTAAGTACCTATACAATGGAGCGCTGATGAAGACAGGGGTAAAAATAATGAGTGTGCCATCGGCCTCAGATTTGCTAGTCGGATGACTATTTCAAGCTACCCAACATAAAATTCTCTTTTTTTCACTTTTTGCATATTTTCTTTGTCTCCATTATTTTTAACAGAGATACATTGAAAATATATAACCTGTTGCATGAAAGTACTAATAATATTGGGGACACTACTGGAGATGGGGCCGCCATTTTACATGGTCATCTGAGCCACGCAAAGGTCTAGCTGTTTGCAGGGCAAAGGCAGTACCTCCATTTCCCAGTTATTTTAAGACCCAGAGTATTGGTCGAGCTACAGGAATCAAACTCGCGACTTCCCGCTCTGCAATCAAGCGCTCTATCAACTGAGCCAATCCTGCCACAGATTGGTTTTCAGGGGTTCAGCCAATAAACTCTTACCACTGGAAAACCAGTGTGGCTGTTCTTCAAACTCTAAAGCAATAACTACACTTGTAATGAAGTAAAATTCATCATGACACTTTAAAAGAGATTACAGTCAACTCTCTGTTATTGGACACCTCTATAAAATGGACACCTTGCTAAAATGGGCACCTTGAGTTGGTTCCTGCCTTGCTTTACTAGTTTTTTTATTTGACTCTCTGTAAGATGGACATCTGTCTAAGATGGCCATTTATTGCCAGCCCCAAAGGTGTTCGTTATAGCCAGAGTTGACTGCAGCAGAACGTGGCATTTTCCAACAAACACTGTTTTGTTTATGTCTGTGTAGGCTAGCTCTGCTAGCGTTCTTTAGTGTGTATATTGAAAGAAGAATAAAACTCTAATACATTGATCACTGCTTTGATTGTAATAGGTATCTATGTGGTGTGGATTGGAGCCTTTGTTGCTGGTATTCTTAATCTAATCAGGAGCTGCTACTACTGTACACTGACTGTCAGTTCAATTGAAGGAGAGCCATAATGACTATCTGATAAAGGTGAAGAACAAAAAACAGCATGTTTTTGCATGCAAACTAAAATACACTGAAACGACGTACTTTAGTGGAACAAGCCCAACTAACTCACTTTTATCAATGTCTCTCCATGAATATAATGAGCTGTGAATAAAGGAAACGGTTACTAAGTTTAACCCTTATTAAAGTCTCCAGAGTGATCAACATACGTTTTCTCCTAACAAAGTCAATAAAATCAACAAGAGAAAAGGTTTTGAGAGTTAATAACATGATCACCTTTTTTAAAGATAAGAGTTGTTTGATCTTTTATCAAATTCTCTCAACTTATTCTTAAAGAAAATGTATGGAGTTCAGTCTAGAGAATTTGTCTGTGGATATTGGAACTTAAAGGGTTCAGCACTGAGTTCTTTATTTCTTCTTAGTAGCCCAAAAAATCATCCAAAAACCTAAATTTCTTTTTGTAAAATCATAAGAAGTAAACAGTACCATGTAAAAGTACTGGTGAAGAGGTGCCATTTGAATGGTAACGCTATAGGTTTTTATCAACACAGGCAAAAGGTAATGACAAATAATCTCACCATAGCTTGCCAGTCTAGAAGTAAAAGGGTTCAAAGTTACCATATTGAAAATTACCATAATAATTAATTTTTTTAGAGTCTTTTTTTTTTCTTCCTCCTTCATTACATAACAAGAACCAAAACATTCATGTTTATATTGTATGTTATAATTTTGCAGTTAAACATTTTTTTAATACGGGCACCATAGGTCTCTATTTTCAAGGTCCATACTGTAGGTTTTTTGTACAGTAGAGATTTTATATACGGTAGTAGTTTTGGACTTTACCCTTGTAAGTCCTAAGAGTTTCCAATGTCAACTTTCTCTTAGCAATGTCAATGTACAGCTATTTTGAGAAGAGTTGTCAGAAAAAAATGTGCACGCAACAATTCCAAAAGGTAATATGAGATAATTTATGATCAATACACTGTTCCTAACGACTGTAGCTGTCAAACCTACTATTGTTACTTCTTCTTTAGCACTCGCAAACATATGTCTGTGGCCTGCTGTGCCATTCTTTCAATTTTCTTTGAAGAACAGCGCACTCAAAACCACCCACAATCCCTTTCGGGATTGTCACGTGCACTTTTTGCGGCACCATTTCTGGAAGTAGCTGTGTATAATCAAGAGGAAAGGTTCTCCCTATAGAAAATGTGTTGATCGTTTGTCAAATTCTCACAACAAATTCTTTACAGAAACGTATGGAGGTCAGTTTGGAGAATTTGTATCTGGATTGTGGGATTTAAAGGGTTAAAGAATTGCGTGACATGTCAACTTAAATAATTAGCAAAACACTAGTAGACTGGGGTGCTCTTATTAAATAAGAAACAAATTTGGTTGGAGTTTGTCCACAAGGAGTGGTTGGATCAAACTTCGTTAAGTGCAAAAATTAACAGCAAAATAGCAGAGAGGCTGAAAATCGAAAAACTAAAGTTAAAATTTTGTTATTAATATGAATAAAACTAAAATGTTAACAGCATTATTAGAATGTACATGTACTACTAATTGCTTTCCTTTACTATTACTGTATTTTAGTATTTGTCCAAGTGCCTAATGCTTTTAGACTGAGGTTTTAGATTATAAAGATAAAAGTATAAACAAAAGTCACAGATACAAAGACCTGTGAACAACCAGTTTAGGTTCTTTAATGTTGACTCAGAGCCCAGAAAATTGTTAAAATAATGATAACTGGGGTTTAAGAGAAATGTGCCCCTGGTTATTGCTGGTTCGAAATGTGAGCATTATTGTGCTTTATATTACTTCAAGTGTGCGCTCTATCAATATACTTTTGTAAGTCACCATCATAGCCTGAATTTCAGACATCCCTTCAAGTCCCATACTCGCTGAGGCAGTCTGAAATTCAGGCTATCATCACAATCACAGATTTAAGTGGACAGACACCTTAAGTCCACTGTGGCTAAACTGAGTTGTTTGCATTGCAATTAAAAAAACAGTAATAATAGTTTTGAAAAATAGATAATTATTTCTAACCCTTGGAATTGTTAATAAAGTTTTCAAGATAACTCTTTGGTCACATTAAATCAATTGTACACTAAAAACAACCCGTTTACGTGAGTGTTGTGTATGTTATAAGTACTTGGTTAACAGCATGACCGAGAAGTACTCATTGACCACAAACTGACCCCACCCGGGTCTCCTACCTCACTACAGCCTGAGGGATGATCCTAAAGTACAACGGAAGATAGCCTGCGTAGCAGGCGTCGAAAAGGGTAGCGGATGGAGAGGAAGGGAAAAAGGGCGCCCTTTTCTCCCTTTTCTTTTTGCGCCTGCCACGCAGGCTAAACCGAAGATCTATTGCTGTGAAAAGTCTGTGAAAGAAACGCCCCGTTGATATTTGAACACACTCCCTCCTCCTTTTTGTATTTTATCCCCAAGATTATTCGGGATCCTGCGTTAGCCAAACAAGCCGTGAACTTCTTATCTTTGTAGATAAATAAATTTTTGCTTTCATTAATCGGTTCTAAATTGGTTCAAAGCGCATTATCCCAAATTATTGAAACGTCAGATGGTTCTCTTTCTAGCAACGGTCTTATTCGTCCTAACCAGAGATCAGGCCCAATTTTAACAGTTGTCAGTTCCTTTCACCTTTCCCGCCGGAATGTTATTTACAGAGCGAAACGAAAATTGAGCCTGATTTCAGGTTATATTCGTCCGAAAAAAATGCATCAGTCAATGTTCACCTGCGCCCAGTCCCCCACGGACAACTGCGGGGCATTTGTAAATTTTGTGCTGCTCGGGGGTCGGACATTTGCCAACCCCGGGGCCACCCCCGAGCTTTTGACACGCACGTAGTTTCCTATCCGAATATAACTACACAGAGGATTTTACTCAGATTTCACTGGAAACGAGCAGATCGGCTCATCCGTCAAGGACGGGAAAAATTGCAGTTGTAGAGAGTTGTAAAAGCATGTTCTGGATTTTAAATAAGTAAATAAGTATTTCTTCAACCCAGAATTACATAGCAAAATCGGCAGCTGTCGACGCAAATCAACGTTGTTTTTTTGTTGTTGTTTCAGTATTCTTGGACAGATCGAGAATGATTTCGCAATTTCAGTAGGCCGTTCATTTCATCCAGTTCTTGCCGTAGAGTTCGAGTTACAAGGTGTTACAAGGAATTAAAATAAGTGACAAGGGGTAAAGGGAGTTACAGGAGGTTATAAGGGGTTACAGTGGGTAACAAGAGGTTACAAGTTGTTACAGGAGGTTCCAGGGAATAGAAGGGGTTACAGGGGGCTTATAAAGAGACTTACAAGGGGTTTAAAAATGGGTTACCAGGGTCCTAGCGGTTCAAGTGGCATTTTGTCGAGTTTAGCACTCGTAAGTAACCACACTTAAGCCCCCCCCCCCCCCCCCCCCCCCCCCCCACCCCCCACAAACAAACAAAAAAGAAACAAACGATTTTTTTCTTTTCTTCCTTCTTTTCTTCATGTTTTTTCTGTTTTTAAATCTTATATTTGCTACACGAGTATTGTCTGATCGTAGGTGATAGTAGT